ATTTGCACGTACATATAGCTTGTTCATGGGACCACGCCTCTTTTCGGCGCGTCTAAAGCTCGCTTACAATTGTGCAAAACTGTCCCTCGAAGCAGTTTTTCTACAAAATTTTCGACTTTACCAGTATACCAGATATAATAATTACGTTCTAGGCTTTCATACTGTACGTTGTTTTTCAAGAGAATTCCAAATTTGGAAGAGGAACTCGGGTTTTAAAGGGAAGGAGGGCCAAACCTCTAAAAGTTTAAGTGTCCAAGAGAATTTCCGTACACTTCAAACCCTTCCCATATCTGAGGGCTATGAGAAGACGAAGAAGTCCTGATTAGTAATTAATCTTCAGCCTAATAATGCAAAACCCCAATTAATATGCTGGCGAGCTAAATGGCACATTCTAAAATTCTATATAAATTAGCCCTTTTTGAACATTTCTGTAAACGATGTTTATCATAGTTAATACTAATTTTGCTCATGATTCCTGGAATGAAAGAAAAAGAAAGAGAAAGTAATCTAAATAAAGAAATTTTAAGGTGGCACCCACCATTGGGTGCCATTGTCCCACGCGGAGAACATAGTGGCACCCACCGGTGGGTGCCATTGTCGTCAAAGGGTTAATTTTCGCCGTCTTTCACTTTCTTTGAACAATTAGTCTGTCAAAACAATACGGAGAAGATTAGCTGAGACCCTTGATCCCAAGTGCTACAACGTTTGCAAACTTTTCTTCCTTCTTTTTTCGCAGTGATTAGAACGTCGAGGCGAACTGCGGCCAGAATCACAGTTACCAACAACGCCTTGCCACTCGTAAAATGGGAGCGACTTCGCAATAAAGAAAATCGTTTTTCTTGAATCCATTCTTTCCTACCTCCCAATTCCTGCGTTCCCAAAGAAAGGGATGTGGGTCATTCCCACCACTAAGGTTAATCAGATAAATGAACATATAAAATATGTCATATAATATACAAGTGTGCCCGAAAGTTCCATTCCTCTTATGAAGCAGCATTTTCATCTCAAGTAATCGTATGCAAGCTTTGTTTTGGAATTATTACTTCTTCTTCCTCGTCTTCTTCTTCTCAAATTCAATACAGGAAGCAGGAGGAACATCCAAAACACCATTACTTAACAAAAGCAAAACCATTACCTAAAAACAAATGCTGGTAAGCGTCGTTTTGAATGCGATTCTCGTCGTGATTGTGGTCATAGAGATCTTCGGGGTCAATGTAGTAATCGAATTTGTACACACATTGTAAAGGCGGAAGAAAGAAGATGTCAAAAGGAGATCCTTGGAGGTCCCGTCTGTAAAAATTTGTACATTATTATATAAGAATGAAACCGCTATCTAGAATCTAAAAAAATAAATATCGGGTTTGGGCCAAAGACCGATGAGTGCCGGCTATAAGATCAATGCATAACTATGAGTTTCTTTTTTTTTCTCGGGAAATTAGCAGCTGGAAGTTTCCCTTTTGAAAGCAAGGTTCGCAATTCTGATTGAAACTTCTGGCTAGGCGTGCGCCAGGTTTTATGCGGGCGTGAGGGAGCTGACTACAGTAGGAAGAAGCTTTCGAAGAGACGTACCTTCTCAAAATCACAGTAGAATCTAAGAAATTTGATATGCGCATAGGTCAGCTTCCAGGCAACTTAAGCCTTAAGCCAGGGAGGGCTTCTGTA